CGTTCCTTGAGTTAAACGGCTTAATTGTAGCATTACAGCTGCCAGTCGCTAACACCGAGTACCATTTCTTTTCTGTCTTTCCATCATCAGCCTGGTCAGTATCGAAGCATTGGAACAGATTATAAATATAGAAACAGAAATGCAAACAGAGTTACAGCTCGTTAATATAAAGCCCGTATCATATACCGATTGTTCGAAGGGATTGGAAGAAGAAAGTGGGACGGCAGAATTGCGTTGGCGTACGCCACCGGCGCGCAAGATGGCGGAGACTGAACGCCTTGAGAAGACCCTGTGCATTTTGCAAAAGTTTTCTTGATGAATTGTTTATTGAGAGAGGCTGATTAAAGACTTGGGGTTTTAGAGTTTCAGTAGGGTTTCAGAAGAAAGGATTCAGAGGCCTGCTTGGGAGTGGGCTACCGGTTACAAGCGTATTTTAAGGGCAACCTTTAGAAAAAAATATCGTAAAATTAAGGATTTTTAAAAAATTGAAAAGTATTTTGAAAGTAAAAATTAATTGTTATTTTTTTAATATAAAAAGTGACATTTTTTCATAAAAAAGTAACAAAATATCATTTTTTAAATTTACGTTACTTTTTTTATTAAAAAAAGACATACATTGTTTGTCACTCAAAAAGACGAAAGAAATTTCAAGAAAGTGATATTAAAAAATGACAAACACTAAAAAAAGTTAAAAAAAGTTACATAAAATTAAAAAAAGTGATAGAAAATAAATAAATATGACAAACTCAAAATAAGTGATACAAAATTAAGAAAAAAAAATGACAAACACTAAAAAAAGTAACCACCCTTAAACATTCAACAGGGCGATCGCCCAGTAATACACTGGGTGATCGTTCAATGTAAACCAGTAACATTGTGTCACTTTATTAAAACAAGTGATATTGTGTCGCTTTTCATTAGAAAAGTAACATTATGTCATATTTTAAAAAATCATATGAAAAGTATTTTAGAAATAAAAAATATTTTGTAAAATTAAATTAAAAAAAGTGACACAGTGCCATTTTTTAAAGTTGAATATCACTTTTATTAAAAAAATGATATTTGTTACTCAAAAAAATGACAGAAGTTTCAAAAAAAGTAATAGATAATAATAAAAATTAGTGTGTAAAATTAAGTGTCACTTTTTTATTCTATTTTTATTAAAAAGTGATATTTGTCACTCAAAAAAGCATAGTTGTTAGACTCGACCCGGACATAGACCCGAACAATACAGCTGGTCAATGGATTAGTTGTTCAACTAGTGATCCGATGGTTCAACCGACGGGTCATTGTATAAAAATCTACAAAAAAAGATAAAGTATAAAAAAAAAATTGGAAAAAATTAAAATTTTTAATTTATTGTTCACTAATTATTTAGGTCTATAAAATAATGTAAAATGTTGGACCAAAGTTTTTTTAAATAATATTTTTATAAAAGTTATAAATGATTCATTAGATAAATATAAGTT